TTTTTTGGGCAGGAGCATTCAGAGGATTTGAAGGGTCAAAATGCTCATCTACCTAAACATCCCTTTTCCAGGTGTCAGGGTCCCACTCTGAATTTGCCATGGAAACCTGTGAAGGCCATGCATTTAGTATCCTTTGCAGTTCTGTTACCCTGTGGTCAGGTTCTGGGCTTGATTTTAAGTCTCTCTTATGGCTCCAGGAAATAAGGCTCTCTTTTAAGGTTTCCATGGAGGTGCTCTGGCTTCCAGAGCATTCTATGAGTTGGTAATTAACTGCCCTGAGCCTGTCATTGTCTGTTTCCAAGATCTCTGGTACCTTATAATTATTATTTCCAAACAGATTGAGTGCCACAGCTACTTGATCTCCCAGTGTCTTGCTCTCCAGCCCAACTGAAAGTTGTGGAGCGACTGCCTATCAGAGTCATTACCATCTCTCTTATCACCAGCAAAGGGGTCTCTATTGATATCAGACAGGTAGGTGATACAACCTCCAAATCCACCCTAGAACCACTGGTGGAACCAATTGCCTGAGCTCAGTTTCCCTGGGAAAAAGAAATCTCAAGCAAAATTAAATCTGATTGAGAAGGCAGCAAGAGTGAGTGAAAGGGAAATGAAGTAGGCTAAGGTGAGAAGCAAAGCAGGGTGGTGTGTTATCATGCAGGTAACTGCTTCGGGACCAGCTGCAAAGAGCCACGGTAGGTTACTCAGTAGGCTGTCTCAGTAGCCATGCAGGACATATCCAGGCAGGCTGTGTTGGAAAATCATAACTCCACAGGAGGGAGGAATGAAAGAGAATGCATCTGCCCAGCTCCCTCCCATCTCCTGTTTCTCACTGGTCAAAATGCTCCCCGCAGGGAATTTCCTAAGATGCATCATGGAGCCCCTTTGATGGCTGCTTAGAAGCCACATCCTGTAGTGAGGCATTTCCTCTGAGTCCAGAAGAAGTGGAGGAGTCAGAGACTCCAGACATGTGGCTGGCCAGCCTGGCTGTGCAGCAGCAGCCAAGAGGGACTTGGCTGGGCGAGTGACTAGTCAGCTCCCAGCGGCTGAACTACATAGATTTAATGGGCTGTGGAGGCAGCTGGGCAGCCAGCAGAAAGGCAAGGTCTAGCCAATGTGAGCAGGGACATAAGATGTGTCTGATACACTCATTAACAGGCTATTAACATCAACAAGTGGTGGAGCTAGAAAAATGAGGATCAGGTTAGGATTTTGTCTTATTTACCTTTGAGACCCCAGCAGCTGGCACTTGAATAATGAGATGCTATTTAAACTCAAGACTTCCCACTACACATCTCTGCTATGCCAGTCATTATGCCATCGAATGGAAGTGACTACGCTCTCAGAGGCTGAGCATGTAGTTACCAGGTGTTCAAGTCACAAGTTGGCCCTGTCCCACTACGTCAGTCTTACTAATGACCTAAACTTTCAAAACCCACAGTCTGTCAGGCCTGGGTTCATCTGAGACTTATGTAACACAAAATACACAAGGAAAGGAAGATCAGAGTTGGCTGGTCCATGCAACTAGCACAACTCTCAAATGCAAGAGGATTCTGAACTGAAGGGCTCTTCTGCTCCCCAGTCCCTCACTGGGACAGCACGGTTCACTTGAGAAGCCTTCTTACCACCTTTTGGGAAAAGTAGCTAAATCTCACAGCTCTCTTCATATGTCACGTGGCTTCCCTCTGCATCCCACCCCCGAAAGAAGAAGAGACTGGACAGTTGGAATATTGGAGATGAAAACAAAAGCTTTTCATTGCACTGTCAGGGAGCCCTGATGCTCCTGGGGCAGGAAGATGAACGGATAACAATCTCTGTCCCTAGGATTTTGATTCAGGCAGAGCAGGATCCAGGCCTTGGTTGACCAGGGTAACTGCAGTTGTTTGGACTTGGCCTGAGTGTCCACACTGGGAATCGATGCCAGGGAAGGTGACACTTGCCAGACATTCTTCGATGTTCACCAACTGGTCTGATCACTTGAGCTTTGAGAGCTCAGTTTTCTCCTGAGGGAGTGTGAGGCCAAATTCTCACCCTCCGCACACAGGTCTTCATCCTGAAATCCTAGTCTCCTGGTCTTGAAACTCCAGGGAAGTGTGGAGAAAGGGACAGATCTGAGAGATGGGTGAGGAAAGAGGGAGGAAGGATGTTTGAGATGAGAAAATAGATTGTTCGCTGAGGCAGCTTTTCTTTTAACCAGGAAATGAAAACTGAGGCCATTATACGGTGAGAGGATAATTTTTTTCAATTTCCTGATGGTTTTCAGGTGTGTTTGTTCCACTTGAATTATTTAGATAATTTCCGCAATAAGCCCGTTTCCTTTGTGGTTCTGGACCTAAGTTATTATTTTCAGTATTGATTCTACAAAGCCCTAGGCATGGGCTCTGTCCCCAGTCGTGCGGGGCTGGTCCAGAGTCCCAGGATCCTCACCCAAGTCCTGGCTCTCAGCTACACTCCAGTGGCCTCTGCTGGCACTGCCCCCTCACCACACCCTCCACGGAAGAGAAGTTCCAGACCCTGATCTGTCATCCGTGGCTCTCTGGCAATTGCATTCTTAGTTCTAGGTTAACTTAGCATCATTATCACAACGATGACACTCCAAGCCGGCGTGCTGGATAGATTGGATATTAGAGCCAGGTTCCTAAGTGCCCACAAGAGAGGAAGTCAGAGGACCAAACAGAACCTCAGAGCCAGAGTAGACCTTAGAGAGTGAGGGGCTTGCTCTCCTCTTTTCAGAAAGAGAAGCTAAAGCCCAGAACAGGCAGGTGGCTTGTCCTGGGTCACACAGCTTAACCAAGTGACAAATGTGGACTTAGAGCCAGTAGTCTGGTGGCCGTCCGGTCTCACCAAGCTCTTCTCTTTCTTTAAAGGGGAGAGGCAGAGGCCTTTAAGGACAGGCTGTTCCAGCGGAGAGTGAGAAAGGCCACACTTCTCCACGGCCTTCAAGCATCTCTCCATCCCCTCCTCTTAACTCTGTAGCTGTGACAGAACAGTCAGGGCCCCGCTGACCACCTGGGCTGCAGCGTTACATGTCAGCTTGGGTTGCAAAGGGCTGGATCACTCACAGCTAACGCCAGAGAGTACATGACTGTGCCCCCTTGTTAGTTTTGGGGAATTTGTAATGTGGGATTTAAAAACAATAATTTAGTGTTGTACCTTCACGCGGACAGCCCCTGCCTGAACATCCATCACCCCCTGGCAGAGGCAGGTGGCTGTGCCCAGCCTTCCTCAGGGAAGGATGCTCTGATGACAAGCCCTCCTCTACTTAGGGGTCACTCCTCAGGTGACTGCACCTCTCCTCTGCTTCCCACAGCTGCCAACCCTCGCAGCGCCACGACCCCTGGGGGAACTCGGTCTCGAGACCCCAGGACAAACGCCGGCGCCCCGCGGGGCTCGCGGGACACGACGGCGCTGGGGCTTCGGGGGCCGCGCAGCTCCCCCTCCTCCGCTCCCCGCTGGCCCGGGAACCGCGCGGCCAATCAGAGCGCCGCGGAGCCCCGGGGAGCAGGGT